GCTAGAACGTCAGGACAGCGATTGTGGTTCGATTGGTCTCACGATACAATTTCAACCCAGGTACGTTTGCCCGGGCAATATTTCTGCAGACCGTTCAGGAGTGTTTCTTAATCTTTAAACGGATTGATCTTTCTATCTACTCCACATCATAGGCACCATCACATTTAAACATAAATTCAGATCCGGACCAGGAATCTCGGCCAATCCGCCGGTTTGTGTATGCACCAAATCTACTAGCACCCGTACCACATAAGGATTAATCAACAGAGCCAAACAAGGGCAAAGCAGAACACATATCACATATCATCAGGCAAATTCTGGTCAACTGATTGATCGGCTAAGATCGGTTGTCCAACAAATCGTAACATTCACTTCAGCAATAACATAAGTGAAGGACGAATAATCAAAACGGTCCACGTCATGCCATACTGCCCCATTCCATTTCGCCTGTTCGCCGAGCTTGGCAATTTGTTTGCAAACGTTTCATCCCCAGCCGAGGTGACATCATCAGTGCTTGTGAAGCCACTTCACAAGCACTGATGATGTCACCTCGGCTGGTGATGAAACGTTTGCAAACAAATTGCCAAGCTCGGCGTACAGGCGAAATGGAAATCAGTTCACCCGAGCTACGAAAACCGATTTTCAATATTTTGTCAATACTGCCCCATGTTAACAAATAGAACAGAGTGCATTAGATCAGAATTTGATCCTAGCTGTTCTGCTACTCGTCGAGTGCAAATTAATGTACTGGAGAATGGAACCGAAATTTATACCTCGATCTACAGTTTTGCACGAGGAGGGTAGAGCAACAAAACACCTGCTCACATCTACAGTGCTCTCGTGAATATACTTATTTCATTTCTAACCCCGTTAGTCAAGGGAGAGTCTATCAGGCCTCCAAACTGCGTGGTCGCAACGATTACTAGAGTAGAGCATGCATACATGTACATACTTGTTGCTAGTCTGGCTAGAACGTGTACTTATACATGCCTGCCGAATGTTAAAAAAGCCGAAGCTTTTTCCGGATGGTGCTTCGTGTGTGCTCCCAGGTGGCAAGATGTCCGATCCGGAATACGCGAACCATAGTAAGCTACTGAGGGGGTGACCTGTTCCCTGAAAACTAGATCTCATCGGACAGGCTTTACAAAAGCACTTGTGATTATTTTCAGTTTCATATAACCATTAAATAATAATAATAATAATAATAATAATAACAGAATTAGTATTCAATTTCAGAACGCATGCATTTCGGTGTGTCAATGCTCCTTACCGTCAATGAGGCTGATTTCAAAACTCCCAACCAAAAACTCCAACACGATCACTCCCATTCGTGAGGATTTTCATTCCTTTTCTGCCACGTAGCAGTATATTTAGCTTTCTTCGTATTCCACACTTTACGTGCTTCAATCAAGGAACCGTATCCCGTGGCATGCGGAATGTGTGTCCAAGTTGCTGAGGTTCAGAAAGGTTTGGCACTTGTGTAAATTTCAGTTTCTACAACCAGTAAGCATGCACTTCCGTGCGCCGGTTTCGGTTACTGTCTTTTGAGCGCTCATTTGGATAAAAGAGCAGAATGAAGATTGGAATGTTGAGATCAAAGTCAAAAAGAAGATAGAGAATTCACAAAGACTAGGGATGCAGGAATAATGATTGGATGCTGGTGTTGGTGAGTCCACTGATGATGTTGCCTAGCTTGGCTATGAAAAGTCTACGAACAACACTTCCAGCTCGGAGAGCTCACCAGCACCAATATCCGCAACCCGAGCTACAGTCATTCCACATCATTTCCAATAAGGAGTAGTTGCACGAGCGCCACTGTTTGCGATACTCAGCCATATCACTCAATGTCTCTAATCCTAGGTTATCACGCTCTCGATGTCCGCATCCAGGAAGCCTAACGGGACTGATGTGACCCAGTCTCCTGGTTGGGGTTTCCATACCCTCATGTCAGGTCTTCGTTTGATCATCTTTGACCTTTTTCTAACCACGCCCTGNCGCCCTGCCTCGGTAATTGCATAGGTGCACAAACGCATTTCCCTATTCGTCTATCCTTCTTCTGTGGCATGGCTCGTTCGGTTGCGCGACCAGATTCGTGCAGTGTTATGTAAACAGTGATGTTCAACTGCAGAAGTTCACATTTATAATAAACCCGTAAAGACTGTCCTTGTATATCATATAGTAGGACCGACCAGACCACAACAGCGGACACCCGCTCATGCGTGGACAGCCGCAAGTCATGGTGGTGATTAAGTTATCTCGATTTGGAGGACGCTACCACAGGCTTTTAAAAATCTGGCAACTTAACATCCGAGATCACACTTCAACAGTTTTTCTTCTCTAAGACTCGTATCTATAAGACGAGTATACTCACTACGAGATGTTTGTTTTGAAATAAAATTCCTGTCTAAATCTTCTACTCGTTTGGTTTTTCTATTTCACAGAAAAATTGGTTCATTCGAGGAGATTTTCGTGATACGCGGTGTTTTTGGTGAACCGGAAATTCAAATTCACGTACGCGGTCAGGGTTCCAGTGATGAAAAATACCGTTCGTTGCTCGGCAAATAAAATAGAACCGGAAAATCACGTGATCCAATCACTATACTTGTCCCGCAACCGATCCGCATCCAGTTGTTCTTGCTCTCCCATTATACTGATCGATAAAACGAAAGAAATGCCTCCAGTTATGTTTGCTCTTTTGTGTTTCTTTAAAAGGTAGAAGGTTAGAACTTCATCCTAAGTAAGGTTAACATAATTTAATCGGAAGTGTGTTACATAACATGGTTTAATATGCTTAAAACCGGAGGATTATTTGTTGGAAGGAATAACTCAAAATGAGGCTGTGATGCAATAACAACTGAGCATTTAATTCAGGCTTGCCAAACGTTTTCGCATCTCACAACACGAACAAGATATGCAGCGAATGTATTCCATTGGTCTGGATAAAAAAGAAGACATTAAAGCTCGACTCATTTGCAGTGTCTGTTTCACTATTCGAGCACTGGGAAAAGAATTAGCTCTTGATAGGAAAGGAATTATTTAAATGCATCGTTCAAAAACGCTGAAACTACTACAATTACGGTCAAGTGACACTCTCGCACGCGCATTATCCAACGGTCGCTCACTGGAGCAAGTGGTCGACCACCATAGATGACGTTGGCTGGGACGTGTTACGCATGTCACCAGATAGGTTACCACGGCGAGCGATGTTCGCCGAAGCAGATACCGAATGGAAAAAAGCCAAGGGTGGTCAAGCTAAGACCTGGCACGAGGGTATGAAAACCCTAACCAGGAAACTGGGTCACATAGGTCCTGTTAGGCTCCCTGGTTGAGGAACTCGGGATGATCGTAACCCATGGTTAGAGACACTGAGTGATATGGCTGAGTGTCGTAAACAGTGTCGTTTGTGCATCTCCTCAATTTCTTTGCAACCCTACACCACTGAACTTTTCCATTTTCTTTTCGACTCCACTTTCAACCTTCTTTTCTTCTCCTATTCTTCATCTAAATGGGCAGCCAAAAGACAGCAACCAAAATTGGCGCTCGAATTTGCGTGGTTAATGGTTGTTCAAACTGAAAAACTGAAATTATCCAACTCAGGCTTTTTGTTTAGGCACTGAGCCACTGTGGATTTGTAGAAAATTATTTGTGATATACGATACTTAAACTCTCAGTTCAGTTAACGCAATCACAACCGCTCAGTTTTTCATTTCGCTCAACAATGAATTGAAATTAGATTGGTAAGAGGTTTTCCAGTTAGTGTGTCCGATGTGAAGAAATTTCGGGACATCTCGGGCCGATTTGACCGGAATGTTTGTGAATGAGTACCATCTATTCAGTATTTCACTGCAAAATCGGAGCGTCATCATTGTCATCAACCAGTGAAATACACAAATGTAAACTTCTCTGACCTCTGTCACACTCACTGTATGCGAGGTGAGCACACACGTGTACAGTGGATAGGAACCGGACTTGCTTCCCCAGGGAGAGGGATAAAGAAGTGAATATCTATGTTCAATACCCGGAATAAGCAGCCTAATTGTGCATACACAATTCGTGTTTGAACATTTTCATCTGATAAGAAATAACAGCAAGAACGCCATTGTTGACGGATCGGTATATCCAACCAACCAATTAGAGAGTTCTTCCGGTCCCAGACTGTAAGGTGCCGCACAACTAATCTGCCTAGTCGCTCTGTGCACCTCACCATGCCTTGATTTATCATTATATGTTAGACTATCTTTGATTTTCTCGATACACTAGGGGAAACTGCAGATAGGCCGTGGTGTGGTAGATGACAGCTGGGTAAACGCAATGTGCCTTATCCAGGGCAACGTAGTCTAGTCTAAATTCGGTGTGCTAACGAATTTTTTCACATAAATACCAGTACTTACCTTGATTTTGTGTATCTGTTCCCTCCCCGTCAAACTGCACAAAAATCAATGACCAATGACCTTCATTAGATGAAGGGCTCACAAATATCTATCAGAACTTACCGTACAATGGTACAGTATACACAGGCTTTCGACGCCCAAATTATATCAGTTGTGCGTTCGCAGCCAGACAACCGTCCGTAGCGACGCAATTACAACGTTAGAGAACTCATTTGACTACAGTCATATTTGACCATTTGGTTTCAAATCTGTGATAGTCGACGCCCAATCCTGCAGTATTAATTTACACGCTATAGGGTACAAACCGCATACCGCACAGAACAGCAGAACTTGTTTGTCTATCAAGTACGTTTTGCTTATCCTCCATACATTCGAGCAGACAATGTTCACAGCGTACTCTGAGTTGTACAGATTTCTGCAGCTGCTCGTTCAATCCCAACCCTTTAAATGCCTCTTGCTGCGTTCTCCAGTATGTTGTCTACGGCGAAATTGAACAGGAATGATGCACAAGGACACCCTTGAGGAATATTGCTGTTGGTTTCGAACGACCTGTATAGCTCGCCATAGGCCCTTACGTCATCAGAATTATGCAAATACAGTTACCCTAATAAGTGAACTTACTACTGTGGAGTTCCTTCGCGAGGAATCGAAACCTACCTAGTCTTCCGGCATCACTTTTTCATTCCCCATATGTTGGAACAGACAGGCGAGATCGATAGCGTAATGTCATTTTCGCGGAGCTTCCCTCCGCCTACCTGTTGAAAACATGCATTGTGAAGGAGGAATTTCGAACTTCATGTCATCACTTTAAAACTTTGGCTAGATTTCTTTTGAGAGTAACTTCTACAAATTTCAAACTCGTTCTGTGTCTGTGACAAAACACTGAATGGACCTTGCTAAATAAACTTTCTGAATTACATCAACAGCGTGCATCCATTGGCCCAACTTGGACTCGAACTCAGAATCGGCAAAGCGCAAACAAAAACAAACATTTGACCACCAGGTAGCTAATCAGACTGTTTCGCTTTGACTACACGTTATACTTTACAGTCCATCGAGGAAAGCTCATTGTGAGCATCTCATGTCTTGAGGCAGACCTACAAAGTGATTACTCACTCAGAAGCATCACAAACTGATCGAAAAGGCAATTTGTATGCTGGGGATATGCTCAAGCAACTGGAACAGATGTAAACTGGTATTATGCAGTAGTGTGGGTACGAGAGGTTAGAATGATTTTATCGCTAGATGTGCTGATCACATTAGTAAGGGAAACAGAGGATAGTAAGAGAGAGGGCTCAAAACCCATAAGCAGAAACGGAAGACATGCACCTTATAAGATTTGAAACAATTTCAACATCCTAATACAGATTATTGCAAAACGTCGATTCCTATAAGAAAATAAGTATCGAGGTTTCCCACAGTGAATATTCTTGTCTCTTCCATTTGACAGCTCTCAGTGCATTTCGGAGCCGATAAAGCACTAGACCCTCATCGGTACATTGTTTGAAAAGTTCCCACCGCTGGTGATAGGATATTTTGATTCCATTCCAGAAAATATCTTCGGTTGATCTCGCCTCCACTTCCACTTCTTGCACAAACAGTTATTCATTTAGTTTGGGAAATATCAACCGAACGCAAGACTGTAGAGGAGTATGGTTCACGCGTAACACGTAGAGATAACAGCTGTATTCTGTTCAGATAAACCAACCACCTGTTCAGTAGTTTACAAAAAACATATGGTAATGATTGTAATGCTACTTACTGGCTGCTCATTTCAGACCAGTTGGGCCAAGTTACGTAATCGTTCGTAATTAGAATTTTATACTAACCTGAGTACTGAAAAAGGGTCTTAGACAAAAGAAAACATCGAAGTGTGGAAACGGGTAGAATAAAATAGTGCAGTACCTCTAGAAGAACGAAACACAATGCGTTCGTTTGTATTTTGTTCAATCTATCAGCAAGGACTTTTGTCGATTACTTGCCACTGTGGGAAGATCAGCAATGGAAGCAGAGAATCCCTTAGTTACGTGAACGCAGTTCTCAATGTCCCTAACCGAGAGACGTAACAATTGGAACTGGGATGGTGAACAAGGGACATTACTTCCGCTGCGATGAAGCTATCTACCACTAAAGTTGGTTGACGTCAGTAGGGTTCTACTCTCCGACCTTATGGTCCTGAATAGACCCTTTACAGTAAACTCCCTGACCACCCTCGTTCGGTTGTTAGTAAACATATTCTGTGGTTCTTGGTTCTGTCTGAACTATGTGCNTGCTAAACTTTTACGAGAAGATGATCAGCGAAGCAGGTTGATATGATTGCCCATACCAGGGACACATCTAGCGGTTCTCCCACTAAACGTTGCGCATGAGTTGCTCAACGAGGGCTTGCGTTCAAAGTGAACCTAATCCATTAGGTGAAGCCAACTCTATTTAAGATTGGAATTCGACACTGAAACAAGCATAACCACCCAATGATGAGTTGTGTGTCCTNGTCCGTACACCGTAAGTTAGCTTTTACTCTCTTGTCTTGTTCTTTTCCTAAAGCTAAGCGTTTCGGAAATATGGAAATTCGATTAGATATTCTAATTTCGAGTAGAAAAACAGGCATAGACTATTTATATCATCCGCATAACTCTCCACCCATTCACCCACCCCACCCCGAAAGCCCTGGAATAACAAAAGCGAATAGGACTAATGAGGTGAACAAACAGAACCAATGTACAATAAACAGGCGCAATAAAATACTCAGGTGATACGGTACAAAGTACGAAACTTGGTCCGGTGAACCAACTGATATCATATGTACCCATGACGTATTCTAGGACAAGGCCCCATGTGACTGTTATTGGCTTGTCCTCCAAAAAATTGTCCTCATTTCTATCATGTGGAACGAAAGACACCTCGTGACAAGCCTGAACATCCCACACGTAGTAGCACGCACAACAAAATTTCCCCATCCAGTTTCCTCATATTTTCTCGGAAAAGATCAATAGTACCACCTCTTCGTGATCACGCATACACCTTATGATCCCGCCAATTCGGGTACACTGATGATGGCCACTCAAATCGGGCATGACATTTAAAACTCGTGAATTGTGTCTACCCTGGGAAGGGGACAGAGAAAATACACTGTATACTTAATGGAATCGAAACATATATTCAGATGGTATGTGT